CATTAGCAAATAGACGCTTAAATCGTGGTATTATTGAAAGATACCATAGAACCTTCAAAGGAGAACCTTTGGTCATCTCATTATAATCACCATCATCTTTCTTAACTTTGTATCTTGAAGTCCCATATTTAGGGCATTTATTCAACCCTTCATACTCATTTCTGAATAATATACAGTCATTAGGGCACGCATGTATCTTCTCATATTCCAAACCCATCGGACACAAAATTTTCTTTGCCTTATACCATCCGTTTTGAAAGTGAATTCCCCTTTGGAAGAATATCACTCAGGAGTTCAAGCAATTCCGTGAAACTAGCAATGATCTAACCATTTTTTGCTTTCAAGTTCATCAATTTCAACACGGTTGTCAACCTTGTGTAATCATCTTTACACCCCGGGTATAAAGGCATCACTACACAAAGTTTCAAAAGTGGCAGAAAACTATGTAGAGGATTCAGACTTTATGTCACGAAACATATATGAAATTCTATCACCAAAGTCTTTATTTACAACCTTATCCTTTCCAGACAGTGTAGTCTTTCTAATTTCTCCATGCCATATCCAATTTGTACACATCAAATTTATCCCATCACAGATAAGATGCTCTTTTATCTCATAAATACTCTGCTAACTATTATTTAAGCATTTGACACAAGGACAATAGTACAATCTATCTCTTTTACTAGGGGCATTTCTCCGAGCAAACTCAAGAAACTTTTCAAACCCATCCTCATATTCTTTGCTAATTCTCTTAGCTTTCATCCAACTACGATCTATTGTTTTACAGAATCAATGAACATAGTTGTCAAGCTCAATTCTAACTCCTTAATTCAAATATTGAAATAATAAAATAATTAAATGTTAGTCAATAAATTAAAATTAACTAACACTTAATTACAAATTAAATGGAATGTCTCGTTTTTAAAAATAAAAAATTCAATAGAATTTCCCTCTAAATATTTAACAAAAGAAAAATTAGAGTGAAGGACCAAGAAAAAGTTATATTTATTATAAAGAATATTAAAAATTGTAATTATTTAAAAGGACCATAAATATATTAAATATATTATAATAAAAATGAAATATATAATTACTTTTAAAAATTAGATTAAGTAATTTCTTAAAAATTGGTATATATAGTGAATGAGTGAAAATGTTGATAAAAATATAAAATCAAACAAACATATATAAGTTTTGCAAAATAGTTAAAAAAAATTATTTTAATCAAAATTAAAACTATTCTTCATAACATATTTCAACATGCATAAAGTTTTATAAAAATATTAAATTAATTTAATATAATTTCTTTCCAAACACTTGTTTTTAATTTAAAGTTATAGAAAAAAATAAAAATAGATTTGTATATAAAATTTAGCTTTTTGTAAAAATAAATTAAAACACATATATACTTAAAGAAGTAAATTTTTGCAAAAATATTATTCTCTTTAGGTCCTCCATTCTAATTTTTCCTATAACAAATCCCAAATTATTTTAAAAATAAAGAAATCAATCAATCAACCAAACCAACTTAACAATGTAATAAAGAAATTAAAAAAAAGATAAATTTAAAGAAATATAACAAATAAAAAAAATAAGAATTCAATTTCAAATCAATTCTATGAATAAAGATTTTCAAAGCTAAAACTTCTAAATCTAAAACGGGAACATAAATGATATCTATTTGCAATGAAATTTTAAACAACACTTTATCATCAATCAAAGTTCATAACAAAAAAAAATTCACAAAACAATGAACATATTATTTATTACTAAATTATCAAATTTATTACCAAAAAATTACCAAAAATTCGAAATAAATATCAAAAAATTATTAAAAAATCAAAAACTTCAAAACTAATCAACTTCAAACATTTAAACATGTTTCTAATACTGTATATAGGAAAGGAATTGAGGTTTTCTCACACCAAATGTTATCAGTCAACAACTCAAACACATAAAAAACGCAAAATCAACAATGCAAGCCAACCACAATGTAAAACTAACAAATCTATTTGAAATACAACAGATTTTTATAGTCAAAACATTCAAGAAACTAAGAAAAAATGAAAAGATTGAAAGAAAAGGATACTCACACAGTAGAAATGATTCAAAGGCACGAAGTTGGGAGTTCAAACGGCGGTGGATAGCGGCAAGACACTACAAGCTAAATAGAGAAGTTTAAACAGTGGAAAAGGTGGGGGAATGGCCAACAATGAAAGTTCGTTGGTGGTGGGATAGAGGGGGACCACAGCGCACTGATATGAAACTATGAAAATGAGTAAAACTGAACCTTATCGTAAGTTATTTTAAAACTTTCCACGGCGGTTATTAAGAAAACCGCCATGGAAAGTATTTTTAACGACGGTTATTTAAATAATCGCCGTTAAAAATACTTTCCACGGCTAAATAACCGTTGTTAAAAATACTTTCCATGGCGATTTTCTTAATAACCGCTGTGGAAAATCAAACGTCATGCCACTTATTTACAAAAATGCCACCGTCTTTTTTTCATGGTGTTTTTCTTCATAACCGCCGTTATTTTGCGACGTTAAATGTCTTTTCTCTAGTAGTGCATAATAGAGTATATGAGAAACAATATACATTATATTTGTGTAATCAAGTGAATGACTCAAATTACTTTATTGAAGATACAGTAATGCATGGCTCAAATTAATGACTCAAGTTTAACTACTCTAAATCTTAATAATGAGAAGTGATGTACAAATTTGAGTACATATAATATAACTCTAGTTATTTTGAACTTTCATAACAAATTATTTAAGTGATAAAAGCATGTTACACATGAGATAAATATAGGATGCAAACCTTTTGCTAATATTTGGCACCATCAAACTATTCATGTAGGTTATCAAATCTGATAACAAGTGCATCTAAAAGGGATATTAAGCTTATATGGTTTTCTTTTCTTCATCCATAGATGGGATCAAACAAATTATGGTAGTGAACAAATTCCCAAAAGTATTTCCAAAAATTTTTTGGATTCGCTTATAGTACGTGAAGTTGTGTTCTCTATTGAGATGGTATGAAGAACAACCACGCTATCAAACATTTTGTACCAAATGCCTCCTTCTGGTTTAGCTCAGTTAAGAAAGATGATATAAGAGCTACTAAAAAAGAGGTTCATTCCACCAAGTGTATCATTTTGGGATCACCGATTTTATTTGTAAAGAAGAATGATGGTAACATAAGGTTGTGTATTAAAAACTAATAATTGAACAAGGTAACGAATAAGCATAAGCGCCCTTTATCAGGGATTGATGACCTCCTAGATCAGCTAGTGGGATCCTTGATTTTCTTTAAAGATCGACTTACAATTAGGGTATCTTCAACTAAGGGTCAAAATTGAAGACATTCCTTAGGTGGTATTTTGTATACACTGTGTGGTATGACCTTCTAGTAATGCCATTCGGGCTGACTAATACTCTTACAGTGTTTGTGTATTACATGAACAAATCTTCAAGCACTACTTGAATCAGTTCGTTGTGGTTTTCATTAATGACATACTCATCTACTCCAAAAATAATGAAGAACACACATATGGAACACCTAAAGAGTTTCACTATTTGATTTCTGTATACGCAGTATTAACCCTAATTTATTTAACAATTCATTTTACAAATATCTCAATTGACTGCAAATAAACATTATCATAACGTCAAATCGTTTCATAAGTAAATAAAATCATGCCAAATATCATATAGGAGACAATTGTTTCTTTTGATATACTCCTCTAGTCTTATTTATAAAACACTTCGAGCATGTTTTACATAGACCAAGAAAAACTTTAAACTTTATTAACTCTCATTTAAAATTTAATAACTTTCTAACTTTATTCCTATTTAATATACATTATACCTCATGTAGACAAAGTCAATATAATAATAAATGAGGGGTAAAATTGGATACCATACAAAAAATCTCTCTTTGCTCTATAAATATGATCAGAGGAGTATATAGTTCTAATAAATGGGAAAACAAATAAAAAACTTGGATCACTTTGAAGCTTTTATAAAGCATTCAACTTTCTTTACTTTTATCTCTTAAATTGTACTCAATGAATGGCATTTGATGTTACAAGTTGCATCTATATCCTCATTTTGTTCGTAGAAAAAGAAGAAAAGGTTTATGCCATAATTATATCAATGGAACGTGCTAGGATGTATCAAAGCATGCGTTTGTCATGTAAAAATACCTTTTCATACTCGTTTATTTTGCATCATCGATCTGCACATACAACCATTTTTAATTTACAAAAAACCAATTTGTTTCTTTTTCTTTGGGTATCACTGCCTTGTTTGGCCAAACAGTTGTCGTGCCCCCATATGCTTGCCGCCTCTTCTCTGAAACATCAAACATCCCCCACCGTCATTATATACCGGCTCCAGCCGAGCCGAGCAGAGCCGAAGCCCGAGACTGCGCCACAAGAGAACACACTTCTGTAATGTGTCCGTCAACGTGGCCTTACGTAATCGGAGAGGGTGCTTCTTTCTCTTTTATTATTTTTTTTCCTTCCTTAGCTCGAGTTAAACACTGGGACGTTGATGAACCATTCACCGTTGGATCCATCTGATCAAATATTGACCGTTGGATCCCAGTGTGAACATTCGTATCCGTATCGTGTTTCCTTCTTTGGACCCCACTGCAGTTTTTCCAGTTAGAAATGTCCCCACCAACATAAATCCCATTCTCTCTCTCCCTCTCACACTCATTTTCTCTCTCTAAAGCGGACGACAAATTGAAGCTCCACTTATTAAAGCAACCCCCCATAAACCGTACTAGTTTCTCTAAACTTTTTTCCCATTATAAAAGGCCCCATCCGCCAAATCCTTCCAATCACACCAATCACAGCACAGAGTATTACTGAGTTGTACTCAACCAATATACGAACCTTCTTCTTCTTCGCTCTCTCTCTCTCTCTCTCTATATCTCTCTTTCTTTCTCGTGGCCTTTGTTTCCGAGATCACCCACAACGCACAATGATGAGGCTCGCCATGAGACCTCCGAAAATCCCTCCTGTTTCAGCCGCGACCTCCAGCACCCATGTCCTCAAACCGAAGTGCATAACCTTCACCCATGAACCGACCAAACCCAACAACACCTTGTCTGTGTCCGAGGTGGTAAAAAACTTGGAGAAATTAATAAATCCCGATGACCAAACTGACCTCTCATCCTCTGCGTCATCTCCATCATCTTCTTCGTCTCCGTCTTCTTCTTCGTCATCTCGGTTTGAGGTCAGACAAGAGAAGGTTCGAGAAAGGTGGATGGAGTATCAAGGATACAGCGACTGGGAAGGGATGCTGGATCCACTGGACGAGAATCTACGAGCCGAGATTCTCCGGTATGGCCATTTCGTAGAGGCCGCATATAAATCCTTCGAGTTCGACCCTTCTTCATCTTCCTATGCGACTTGTAAATACCCAAAGAACAGGCTTTTCGATGGCTGTGGGTTTCCTAGTACTCGTTACAAGGTTACTAAACACCTGCGTGCAACCTCGGGAATTCAGCTACCTCGTTGGCTCGAAAAAGCACCAAACTGGGTAGCTACTCAGTCCAGCTATATCGGCTATGTAGCAGTCTGTGACAACAAGGAAGAGATAAAACGACTTGGTCGGCGTGACGTGGTTATAGCTTACAGGGGAACAACGACATGTTTGGAATGGCTCGAGAATTTGCGAGCCAACCTCACCGACCTTCCTTGCAATAGTGGGATCGATGGAACTGGAGCCATGGTTGAAAGTGGGTTCCTGAGTTTATACACTTCTTCTACACCGTCCAGCTTGAGTCTGCAACAGATGGTTCGTGAGGAGATTCGTCGGATTCTCCAAACTTACGGCGACGAGCCGTTAAGCTTAACCATCACCGGACATAGCCTCGGGGCGGCGCTGGCAACCCTCACGGCGTACGACATACAGACGACGTTCAACCGGTCGCCGATGGTGACGGTGATATCGTTCGGAGGGCCGAGGGTGGGTGACCGGAGTTTTAGAGAGAAGTTAGAGAGACAAGGGACGAAGGTTTTACGTATAGTGAACTCAGACGACGTGATCACGAAGGTGCCAGGATTTGTATTTGATCAAGGAGAGCGAGAGGGAAATATTTGTGCTGACGTGGCGGCCGATGGGAACGTCAACGTGGTGGGACTCCCGAGCTGGATACAGAAGCGGGCGGAGGATGCACAGTGGGTGTACGCGGAGGTCGGGAAGGAGCTCCGGTTAAGTAGCAGGGATTCTCCGTACCTAAGAGGTTTTAACGTTGCCACGTGTCACGATCTCGACACCTATCTCCATCTCGTCGACGGTTTCGTCAGCTCTAGGTGTCCCTTCCGAGCCACAGCAAAGAGGTTCCTCCGCCGGTGAAGCTAAAACTTTTTCCTGTATATATTTATATTATGTTATATATGTAAATAACATAGGAGTGAGGAGGGACCTTTACCATACAAATTAAAAGTGTGTGGGTGGTACCCCAGGCCTAACCTTGAGGAAAATAGAATGTAAAAAGAAAGAAATAAAAGAAAAGGCAGAAAGTTGGTTAAATGTAATTTTTTTAATTATTATTATTATTATGTGTAAGTAAATCAGAGACATTCTTTGATGATGGGAAAAGCAAAAGTGAGAATTTTCAATGGCAATAATTGGAGACTATATAACCTGGCAAGCGTCAGAGCATGCCGTAAGCATATTGTTTTTTTTTTTTTGATACGAAAGAGGGCAAAGCCCAGAAAACTACATTAGATTACTCATGAGGGGATTAAATCCCATACATTCAGTAGCAACTAAAGTGCTTAGATGAGGGGGACAAAAATGCAAAAAAGCAGACTTGTTTAGTCCTTCCTTCGCCAATAAATCCGCTACTCTGTTTCTCTCTCGCGGGATGTACTGCAATATAACTTGCCAACTGAGTGCTAAAAGGTTTCTTATCCGCAACATTAGCAGATTGTCCATGATCACGTTGTTCTTATCCGTAAGCATATTGCTTTTAAAACCAGAGAAAGTTTCTTACAGCATTTAGGTATAACTAAAATGCCAGGCCCATTTCTTGTCCTAACGATCCACTCATTAGAATTAGCCGGATTTTTCATTATTTATTTATTTATTATGGGGAAATTAGGGAAAATTTTCACCATTAAAAGTTTTATAGGTGAGAAGCGTTGATAAATTTTTATACACGAAAAAATATGGATACTCTGCAAATTTTGTCCGCACAAATCATACCATTATTTTGACTGAAGTCATTTTCAATGATAAAATTTGCAATGATACTTTTTCCTAATGCACCCTTTATTAAGATTTGTTTGAATAATATGCATTTTGCAAAATATCATTACGACAGTATATCTGTAAATATACTCCATCTGGTCCTATAAGTTACAATTTTTGAAATAGGGTTGGCGCTTATTATAGATTACACTTTATACTTATATGAAAATTTAATTATCTTTTTACTTTTACCCCAATCAATTTTATGTCCATTACATTTCCTTTTATTCCCATTCATTATTTCTTATATCTTTTTCATACTCATTTTCTCTCTTAATTAACCATATCTGTAAATAAGGGTATATTTAAGAAAAAATCCATTTTCTACACCTAATTTATTGCCTTTAACCAATTTTTAAAATTTTTGTATCTATATATTTCGGTTATTTCTGACACACACACACGCACAGATATATATAACTGAAAGGTGTATAATTTTATGGGTATATTATCTTAACTTTAATTTTTCTCTTTTCTGCACCAACACTCTTAGAAAAGTAAAAATTAGTTAATGATAGAGATATTATTAATATAAAATATAAAAATCTATATTCCATACCTCAAAAGTAGTCAATAACAAATTATTCGTCCTCAAATATGGGGCTAACTTAGTTTAGCCATATAAAATATCTAGGTTCATTTTCAAGTTTGAAAAGTTAACAAAATATCGTTACTATATAATTTATCATTTAAAATAAAAAAATGTTATCCAAATTATGTTATAAAGTAAAGTATACTTTTAGTTTTTTAACTTAATATAAGATTTTAATTTGGTCCATTAACTTTAAAAAATTTATTTTTAGTTGTTTGACCTTAAAACAGTTAAAAAATGATGATATTGAGATTTTGAATGTTGATAAATCATTTTTAAATGTTATTATATTAAGTTTAATTTGCAAAACAATTATGATTGTTATAAAAATTATCATTTAGCACTAATAGTTTTACATTAAAGATCTAAAAATAAACTTGTTAAAATTAAGAGATCAAATTGAAATCTTATATAAAATTAAAAGTAAAATGTATACTTTGCTGTATGCTATAAAAATCTTGTTCTATATATGTCTAGAGTGGCGATAATGTTTGACAGTTCAAACTTAACTTTTTTTGAAAAAAAATAAAATAGCTCCAATAAACAAAATCCATAAATCCAAAAAGGTGTTTATGATTATTTGTTTAATAATCTAACCCATGCCAAAAAAAAAAAAGGGTTGGTGGCACAGCTGGCGGGTCGTACGCTAACGTTAGCCATATTATTGGAGTGATGATCTTAAAAAGGCAAAACTTGTTTGGGCGTGCTCCGGTAAGAATATAATATGAACTGTCTAAGATCTTATTGACCAGTAATAGTAATCATGGGTTTATCATATATTCTGAGATTGTAATAATTTTTTGGTCAAAAGAAAAAAGATTATAATAATTTGAAATTTCCCTCAGTACAAATATATACAGCACCGACCCTAAAAAGTGTTAAAATAAGAACACTTTCTGCTACAAGTAATCTTCTTCTTCATCATTATTCTTCCTTCCTCGCCTCTCGTTATTCTACTAAGGCAACACTTACCTAACAGCGCGCCGTCCATACCAAACCTCACACGGACGTCGGTTTCATGCAAAATGACCAAAATAACCTTGACTTTTTTAAATAGTCGATGCTTGATGCATTTATTCTTCTTGTTCTTGTATTTGCGACGGCCAAACTCACCTGGGGCGTGATCATGTTAGTAATGTTGAACTCCAAGAATATGGCTTCATTCATGTATATGTTGAAGTCTTAAGATCATGTATAGTCTCTTGGCCTCCCTTTTCTCATGACTTTTTAGCTAAATTAGAATACCCAAGGGAAATACTACTTCTAGTACTTAATATAAGAGCTAGTTGAGAATTAGCTTTAGTCTTAAATATAAAATTTCAACTCACTTCGTTTTCTAAATTTGTAATTTATTTTTTAGAATATCCCTCTTAATTATACTGTCAAAGGGTTTCTATTTAAGGGTGGTTATGATAAAAAAAAATACTTTAGGAAAATCAACTCATATTTGTTACAAATAACTAATTTAATTAATTTTTTTAATATACTTAAATTAATTAAGTAGCTCTTATATTAAGAACGGGATGGAGTATTTATGTTTCTTGAGTTAGTTTTAAAATTTAAAATTATACAAGATGTGTTGTGAAAAATCTACCGAGTTTTTTCCCCCGACAAAAGATAAAATAGATTAACTAACATCCCTAGAATTTTGATTTAATTTGTTAAATTTTTTAATGGAGAACAATACTACATATTATTAGATACTAAATAAAATAAGATTATAGTACATCCAAGAGAAGCCTAATTTATCCTCTGTTTTGCTTGCTAAAATTGAAGACCTCCCCAGTTTCTTTCAAAACCTACATTTTAATTCAATTTTTATCAGTTTTAAGAATATCTTTTAATACTTTAAAATATTTAACTTTATTAAGTGAAATTATGTTAAAAATTAAAAATATTAATTTTCCCTCACAATCTAATCGTCTTCTCTCTTTGATCAATTTAAATAATTTTAAATAGTAATTATGTTAATATTTAAATAAAATTTTTCAAATAATTATGGTAAAATAAAAATAAATTATATTGATTAATGGATCGCTTTTAAATGCAATCCTCAATTAATTAAGTTTCTTTAAATATACATGTTTGAAATATTACTTATAGCCAGCTTATGTATATTTAAATGTTAAAAAATCTAACTAAATAATTATATATAAAAAATAAAATATATTAAAAAGTAAATACATATCGATTAAAATTATTTTCGGTTACCAAAAATTAATTTTATTTAATCCAAAATATGTGTTAATAGTAAATTAAAATTAGGTAGATGAAAGTTTAATCATACAATTACAATAGAAAGGAGATTATGTAACTTGTAATTTTAGGGTTGGTTTTTAATCATTTATTTGTTATAAACTTTGTAATTACATAGATATCGTTCGTTAAAATTTTCTTGTCAATGCTAACAAGTGACTATTATTTTTTTTTATTTCCGTCATTTTTTTGGTCTAAGAAAATTGAATGGATGGTCAAAATCTAATACATCCTGAATGTAACATATGAATCACATGAACATTATGACACTAATTAAATATTGATATTTTGCTTTTCTGATTTTTAAAGTTTTACTTTTAATTTTATGTGAATGCGTCTAATTTTGTTTTGTTTTTTTTTTGCCATGTAATTTTGTTATACTCACATTTAATAATATTAATATTAATATAAAATATAAAGTGTTTTTTTTTGGTAGACAATATAAAATATAAAGTTGATAAAAGATCGTGCTGTTTGCAAGCTAAGAAGCGCTTTCCTTTAGACTTCTTTTTTTTTTTTTTAATTTCAATATCTTTCACAAATTTTTACTGCACTCAACTACACTTAAGAGGATTTAAACTGTTACAAAAGTGAATATAAGATTTTATCTCTCATTTTGCGATGGGCATATTGATAACAGTTTGGTATATATTTCTAAATAATTAAGATCACAACTGTCAAAAAAGTTTTATAAAGACTCCTACTTGAGATTTGAATTAAAAGATGGATAATCATCCAAGAAAAGGATGGATTTGGTATTTTTTGAAGTTCTTAAAACATAAAAAAGTTTTAAAAATAATAAATGGGTGTGATAATGAAACATAGAGTGAAAAAAAAAAAAAGGTAACTCAAAGTCAATCACAGCATGGTTACAGCACATGGTTACTGTATCATGTAAATATCAAGATCATTATCTCTTCAAGACATCACTATAGTGCATGTCATGCATATACAATGATCACAGCACATACAAGCATGTTTGAAAGAAATAAACTAATCTAGGATTTTATAATAATAATTTGAACTCGCAAAGCATGCTTAAATAAGGTTGCTATAGACCTCTTTGATTTTAATTTCGTTTCTTCAATGACAGTTACTTTAGGTCGTCAATCCTCCATGAGGATGCTAAAGATCTTTTTGACTTGATCTTTTTAGGTTTATTTCTTGCCAAGCGCATGAGATGATTAATCAAACATGAGAAACTATTTCCTTTGGGGGTAGTTCTAATGCTTACCACATAGTCTTTGTGGTC